CAACTGTGGATCGTGCACTGCTAATTAACATAGATCTGATGTTTCTTCAGATGAAACGTATTCTAGGACAATGTTTTAATTACTGAGTTGTACGGAAATGTCTTCTCCTAATGTAGTCCTCGGCCCAGATTTCGTTTATAGACAGAATTTGTTTCTAATATACCTTAACGAGTGTAAAATATATATTACCATTTTAGGAATATATTTTCGCTTCATCGTGACAGGTTTAGGTATTGAACATCGAGGTTACGTATTTAAAGTTGTATTCATAATCGGTAATTTTTATGGAGTTTACAAAATCTGTTTTCTCGCCTTTTTTATTTAAGAGTCGCTGATTGTGCTACTGTTCTGATCCTCGCATGTTGTTTACAGTGGCACATGTATAGGGAGGGTGTAAGATTCACAGCTGGTCTTAAATTGGAGGTTAAAGAATTCAATTTTGAAGGTTTCTGACGACAGTGAGATATACATTGCGTTACACAATTACAGTGTTTCTGAAATTGGTTCTACTGTCGTTATCAGGTAGAAACCAGGGCAGAATATCTGTCTACTACGCCTTTTACCTTGCCATTTGGTTGAGCTAGCCTTGAACGTGGATATCTGATTAAGGATCTTCCGTGAACATTACATATTCATTCGTTTTGTTTGCTGTTATTGAAAACAAGATTCATCAAAAGTCACTACCCGTAGTTTTATTTCGAACTGATGCTTTTCAAAATATTTTAAGCATTCCCCTACTTTAACCTATTACTAATTACTTTGTATATAACAGGATTCATCTATTCGCGGAAATATAACCCCGCTCTGAAAAGTTATAATTTTTGTAACATTAGATGACGGACAATGACCAAATGAAAATTTTAACACGCTCTAAAGATATATTAAATCTTGTCCCGTCTAATCACAATAAATTCTTATTAAATATTAAAATATTACAATAATTAACATAATTAACGGCAATACTTCCAGACAGACGTAAACTCCTCCACAACATTTCTGACTGATAAACAAAAAGTTCACCCACACTAAAGTCACATTGAGCATGATATATATATATATACAGAACAACATCGAGTGTGTTATTAAAAAATGGAATAAAAAATCTGAAAAAGAACATCGTTTGATATCTGGTAAAAATCTGATAAAAATGTACGCTGGCATAATGTATGAAAAATTGTATTTGAATTATTTATCGTTTTGAAGCTTTATATAATTATATACACCTGAGGATGGTTCTTTTAGGAACTGAAACATGTCGTGAAACATGAAAAAATGATGGTCTAATGTAAATCGAATATTTCGATAAAGAACATCATTTAATAATATTTTAAATATTTTAAATGTTAATTATTGTAATATTTTAATATTTAATAAGAATTTATTGTGATTAGACGGATAAGATTTAAACAATATGTATTTATTATATCACAATATGACGCAACTTTACCATCTTGCGCTCTAAAGAATGTAATATTCCACGTGAATGTACCAAAGCTGTAAGGTATCTCACCGAGTAAGTCCCACAAAAGAAAAGTACAGTGCAAAGATTCTGTGTCACGTACCCGAATCCTGTCTGTCATCGGGATTGGCCAGGACTCCGTCTGTATCCCTTTCGAGTCTCCTGAAGCCTCCTCGGTCATCGCCTGTCCCCCGGACAGGATCGTTGACATCGTCGGAAGGCCGGAAGACGCAGATGTTGGCTACTCGGTGATGTAGCAATCCATTGTTCGCGTAACTATGGTAACGATGCTGTAGTAGCAACGCGTACTGGAAGGCTGTAAGGGACGGGCCGATCGAGGCGGCTGTGGGGAGATAGGGCTGTGTTCCTGGCACTAGGGCACCCGCAGCGCACATCCGCGACAAAAGATGCCCCAAGTCACTGGTTGTTGTTGGATCCTGAGTTTGGGTAGAGAAATTTTGGGGCGGCGGATTGAAATGTCTGTCCATAACCAAAGTCATAATATTTTTACGCTGGTGATGTTGTATCTCGAAATTATATCTTGAAACTTCGGTTTTAAGGGCGGGATACTTCTTTATAACGCTCAGGGGGTGGGCCGGGGGGGGGGGGTCTTTAAATTTAATTTAATTTTGTTAATTACGACCTGCTGTGTTTCACATCTGGCGTTGTTATTTTCAGAAACAATGATAGGGGTTACAACTTTGAATTTTAACACACTTATGCACAGAACTATCTCACAAATGTGGTATAATGTTATGTTAAGAGTTTATCAGAATTCCCAACACCAGTCAAACGTGATTTCCAATTACAAATTTTCAAATTAGTATTACGCGTAATTATGATTTTTCCTTTAGTAGATTGTGTCCTCAAAGAATGCAGTGGTTCGTATTCCAAATATCACAACATTAAACGACACTCGTTTCTTCAGCAAGCGGATTTCTACGCACAGTCGCATCACATTTAAATTTCCTTTCGATCTTGTCATTTAGAAATGAAGTTCACGAGTAGAATGTGCCTCGTATTTTATCAGATTTATCAACCATCTTTAATGTATATTCCTGTTAGTACTTACACACCGCACAAACGCGGGTGACACACAATAACAAAACACTGTCGCTGACGTCTGAGACAGTCGATTCGCCTTTGTTTTTCTTTCGTTCCACTGCCGATAGAGTCAAAGCATCCTCACACGCACGCCTTTTCTCTCTTTTCCGCTCAACAAGGTCTGCTTAGAGGTCCCGCTGACATTACGAGCCCTAACCACGGCTCGCCTGTGTTTCTCCCTTCATCTTCTCATACATTCAGTCCCCACTACCACATTCACGCATCGACGAATCACAAGAGTTACCAGCAGGAACAAATATCTCTTATTCGCCGTTGCTTAGCAACGTCTTCTCGGCCTGGTCCTATAGACCACGCCTATCTGATACCAAGCAACAAGGCCACGCCCATAAATCCCTGTTCATCATTCCTTTTGATTTATCTCAAAAACGTTTTACAGTATCTTTTTATATTATGTCTTACCCCTTAGTAGCTATATGGTCCCGCCGAGCAGTAGTGGTGGTTGGGTGGTATTTGCTCTGAAAGGTGTTACGAAGAACTTTAAAATAAAACTTTATTCTTGGGTAAAGAAAAATGTGAAATATAAGGAATAACATTATGTCATGGCTTTATTTTCAATTGGATAGATTGAAAATAAAATCTTAAAACGTGATCTTGTTCGAGTGTGAAGTAACGTGGTATATGCTTACCCCTGGACATCGGTTCGTGTCTCGCTGAGTTAAACATGAATCTTGAAAACGTTTGCTCGCAGAAGCGTCTTATTGTGGTTTCGTTGCAACAAGACTGTCTGTTGGTTACAAAATTTTCAGTTCTGGTTATGTTTAAGACAGATATATCAAATTAATCACATGATAAAGGCTCCTACATTTTCTGCTCGATTCAAAATCCTAACAGCGATACAAATATTTTCAAATTCTGCTAAATATATGACGTCACCCACTTGCTGTGTTTCTTATCCAATTAAAATGTTAATCGCTTTAGTGATGTCGGCTGTGTTATAGCAGGAACGCGGATAGAAAAATGTTATCTGCATCTTGAAGTGCAATGACGAGAATTCTGAAGTCAGGTGATCTTGGTGGTCATGTAATTGAGCGACCACGGCCAATATATTTCTCAACGCAGTGCAAGATTTTTGTTACGATACAAGGAATCTGCATAGCGGAAAGTTCTGGAGTTATGGTGTAGCCTAGAATTAGGGCTTAACGCCGTGTTTTAAATTTCTAAAAGAAGATTGCATATAAAATGGTCTCAGGTTTGTAATTGCCCTCAAAATTCTTGTGAAAGGGGCAGATTTTGAACGTCGCGAAGGTTTTGGAATTATAAAATTAGACTAAAGTCACATTCTTAACGTTAGCCCAAGCCTGAAAGTTGAGCACCTAGAGATCGCCACTGTCGAGACTTCCTTTCCGTGCCTCCATCATAAATGCTACGGGGGGACAGCGAGTACCTCTGAAACGTCGGACATATCACAGACCATACAACACAAAATCTCATAAGACACTCATCGCTGTGAGAACATGAAATCAAAACCTGTTAGATCCTTGGTTTAATGACGTTTTTCCAACTACATAGATTATGCTTGTAAAGCGTGGAATAATTATGTGACTGATAAATTTGAGGACGTGTTGCTGTGTGAAAGGATTTGTCTTGGGGACTGAGGAAATTACGAAGATCCTTTCTTTGGACAGCTGTATCCGAGCCGAGAGTGTAACGCGGTATCTCCCGGCTGTAGATCAAATCCCGATTGTCTAGTCTGTAGTGAACTGCCCCAAAGACTTAATTTAATTTGAGCCAATGTTTTAAGTTCCACGCCACTTCGTGTAGGCCCTCGTGGGCCCATGTAGAGTTTCGTTGGCTGGGTTTTAAGCTTACTCCGTCCTTACACTGCATAGGTAGGCTTATTGGGCTACGTAATAGACTGACATCGGCTTAGTAATTGGCCTAATAGACTGAGGTAGGCCTGTAAGGCTAAGTAACTTTCATATTACACTAACTGTCTGAACCGAGAACCTAATAGTCGCTCAGTTTTTAAAGACTTTCCTTCCTATTGTGAAAACCAAACGTTCATTAACTTCTTTAAAATATATATTGTTTAAATCTTGTCCGTCTAATCACAATAAATTCTTATTAAATATTAAAATGGTCTAATGTAAATCGAATATTTCGATAAAGAACATCATTTAATATTTTAAATATTTTAAATGTTAATTAATGTAATATTTTAATATTTTATTATTATTAATTTATCGAATATTTCGATAAAGAACATCATTTAATATTTTAAATATTTTAAATGTTAATTAATGTAATATTTTAATATTTTATTATTATTAATTTATCGAATATTTCGATAAAGAACATCATTTAATATTTTAAATATTTTAAATGTTAATTAATGTAATATTTTAATATTTTATTATTATTAATTTATTCTTTAAAATAGTCCGTCACTGACCGAGCGCTCTTGATCGAGGTAAATCTAGTCCAAAGGCTGATACCCTTTTTATTTAAAAGTCATTTTAATATTATTATTCCATGCATAAAGCGATCTGCATCAATCTCAACAAGACGTGTGCAAAGAGCCTTTAATTTTGAAACAGGAAAAATTGATTCGTATTTTACCAAACAGTTTCTCTATACTTAAATTCTGAATGATTTGTGGAAGGACCATTGGGTTTTAGGTCATATTAAAGTGTAGTTCTGCCTTTGTCCGCCTCGAGGAGCTACTAATGACAGGGTGAAACCCTACTTCGACAAAAGGGATGGTTCCCCATTATTAAATATTCATTAGCACTCTGCTTTCAGCCACTTATAAAAATTCAAGAATATCCTTTTTATTTGCTAAAAGATGTACGTAATATAAGAAACTTCTAGTCCGTAATTTAACAGTCACGGGCAGGTTTTTTGAACGGCCAAAAAAAAAATTTTTTTTGTTCCAAATGACAAAAACCGAACGCATTTCGCGAGCGACTGCAAGTTGTCATTTGTATTAGGAATTGCTTTCCGAGAACAGAGAGCGATATTGTGTTATGAATGAGACGTGGATGTATGCATTTTGCTTACTACTCAATGCGTGCTACATATTTGGCTCATCTCACCTTCCGTGAAATAATCAAACGACTAATATCTGGCAAAGATAACAAATTATGAATAATCTTCATTATACATTTTTCTAAAAGTTATTTTGAGTGACCTATTCTCACTCACGCCCACGTCATCAAATTCCATGCCTGTACAAATTAGTAAGTAAAATAAGTTTTTATTTGAAATAAAAGTAGCCTCTTCCAAATGCGAGTACAATATTGTGGAAAAGAAGTTTTCACCGGGAAATATATTTCATCTCCATTTAACAAATCTTATGAGAATTGTGAGTCGAATATTGATGTCTTCTGGGTTGTAGAGACGAGTAGCCTGGTAGGAGTTTACCACCATTTCAGAGGTCCTGATGATGGAGGCGGCAAGGATCTCCGAAACGTCGGTAAACTTCTACCAGGCTACTCGTCTCTACAACCCAGAAGACAGAGCCATTTTTCATGAACCATGTACTTTATTTGTTAAGGGAAAGAAATGTCTTACTAAACAATGCTAATTTTAGGTTTAACAATTAACTTGTATTTCGAAAAATTTGCAGTTTTTGCCGATTTGCATATTTGAAAATAATCTGGTCTTCTCAGAGGGTGTTTTTTTCTAAAATCCGTTGAAACCCCTCCCTCAAAATTTATTCAAAAATTCTCGTGACGGAAATCTTCATCAAATAAGGGTATATATCGTTCTATCAAACAATAGTAATGGTTTTTATGGTTCTTAAATGGTTTTGTCTGAGGCAACATTAACTTTCCTCTTTCCTGGTTAATACGAAGGCCCATGTTTCACAGGTGTCATGCGCGCACCTGGTGTTAAAAACGCTAACTGCTACCTTATAATTATGCCAGAAGGCTATGTCCGCATTTCGTATGTCGTTCTCTGTAACCAATTATTTAACGAAGAATACTAAGTTGACACACAGCGCGGATAGAACAGGAAGGAGATAAACATTAATATTCGATTAAAAAGTGAATATAAGCCTACTTATACACGTGGAATGAAGAATGTACGAATAAAAACACGTATATAAATACGAAACTGGCAATTTTGTGTTCCTTTGTCATTTTATTGTGTTCACTTCTAAATTACACGTTTCGGAATGACTTTGTATGGTCCTGACACTTTCATGTGTGTCCTGTGTCACGATGTGCTGAGTACTGAGTAAAAACATGTAGTGAAACTAGCAGTGGATACCAGACGAAAAATTCAGCACGAACTTTTACGATATGTTCTGAACTAAAATTAGTACAACTTTTTAAAAATAGATCGCAACTTGCATATCGTACACCTTGCTGAACTGAATACATAGAACAGATATATTCTTGAGAAGCTGGTAGGCATTAAACTGGTAAAATTATCATCCCTTATGCAACTAGAAGCTTCTTTATTGTTTTAACAAAACCCACCACTTGTATCTATAATCGGCCACATGGAACTATTACGTAATGTTTTATCATGTTTTTTTTTAAAAAAAACCATTTTAATATTATTCTCCATCTACGACTTTATCTCTTAAATTTCAAATTTCAAATTTTAAATTTTCAGAAATTTCAACTAAAATTCTGTATTAATTTTTAATCTCTCCCCTGGTGCTGCATACACCATACAAAACATGTGAATACATAAATTGCGTATCTAATTATTTATTAAGTAACCTGTAAATTAAATACACATTTTCGAAATCATAAAAAAAATGTTTATAATTCCTATTTTCAGTGTTTTGAAGCCCGTACTTTAGATAAAATGTAGGCACACTGCATAAGAGTATTTTTACATTTATTTCCAATCCTCTGGTTCGTTGTACCATATGGTACAAAGAATAATAACTTGTGAGAACGATTATTTCCTCGGTGTAATAAATCATAAGGAGACGTAAATCTGTAGTAGGGGCCTGCCTTTTGAGAGTTATGGGAACGGATCAGATGCCTTCCTACAGCTTCGATTTATTCGAGAAAAGTTCGCACACAAAAACAAAACACACAACTGCAATATATTATATATAAAATTATTGCTGTTAGGGGATGATGGGGAAACATGGTACTATATTTAAATAACGCCGAATAATTCCCCAGTTTGCTGCCCTGCAAACAACGGACGCAGATTACACAAATTATATCCTGTAGAATATTTTGTTTCCGGTCAATGGTGCCACAACTTTGTCCACATATTAAATAGGCAAAGTGGAGTCGAC